AACCAGACTAAGATTTCGAATATTAATAAATGTATGGTTCCAGCCTTGCCTCGTACGATGGGATCTGGGTTTTTTTTTTAACCTATAGACGGAACTTGAGAATTGGCGATGTTTCTGCGCACAAAAGAGTAAGGGGACCTTTCCGTTTCTTTGAATCTGATTGTATGGCCTGGGGTAGCTCTATCATAGGTCAGGGCTCCTTTACTGCCAGCCTGTGGCCCGCTGTTTACGGAATCAGATAACCTGACTGTGATAACATTGTTGGTAGTCATAAGAATCTGATAAGCCATATTCACCAGCCGCTTGGCAGGCGGTGGATGTACTGCAGCCGTGTTAAAAAAAAAAAAACTTTCAAGATTATCTGCAACGACAGCAACATCAAAGTGGCATACTCCCAGCGAGAAAGGCTGCGATACTTGCTGCGACAAACAGTCACATCGGCACAGGATTATTTAACGGACGGGATTCGATTGGCAGGAGAAAGAGACGCTGGGTGAGATAAACTGGCGCCGCAGGTGATTGGATTGGAGCGATTGTGAGTGGGATCTGGGACTAGGAAAGGGAGCAGAGAAAGGAGGAAGGAAGCAGGACTTTCAGCAGTTATAGGGACTGGGACTGGGACTGGGACGTTAACGACCGAGCCGAAACTGGGCCCGGCACACAAACCTTGCATACACACCGCCAAAAACCAACCATGGCCTCCTTCTGGAACGCCCTAACGGGCAAATCCTCCTCCAGTGCCCCCACCGGCTACCCTTCTTCAGGCTCCAGCTTCACTTCCACAACCGACACCCCTTACCCCACCAACCCGTCTGCCCACGCCGGCCCAACAGCCGAAGACCTCTCCTCCTTCATCACCACCCCGACCTACGACCCCACCTCCTTACACCCTCTAGCCGACCTCTCCAGCGATACCCTAAGCTACATTAGCCTCGACGACCCATCCACCCTCCTTCCCGGTTCCAACACAGGAGCCCTCCCCTCCCGCTCCTTTACCGACGACCTCTGCTACTCAACCGGCACAACCTACCTCCTTGGTCTCACCACTGGTGGTCTATGGGGCTTTACAGAGGGGTTAAGGAAAACTCCGAGAAGTGCCCCGCCCAAGATCAAACTGAACGCTGTGCTCAATCACATTACCCGGAGAGGTCCCTTTTTGGGCAATAATGCAGGGGTATTGGCGTTGGCGTATACGTGCTTGAATGGGGGAATTGGGAAGCTCAGGGGGGAGGTGGATGGGGCTAATGGAGTGCTGGCGGGAATGCTGGCGGGAGCACTGTGGAAAAGTACGAGGGGAGTGAGGGCGATGGCGGTGGCGGGGGGGTTGACGGGGTTGGTGGCAGGATTGTGGCAGGTGGTGGGGAGGGTCTTGAGGGAGGGGGGGGGGGGGGGGGATTAAGATTGGAGAAGAGAGTAGTGGGGAGAAGCGGAGGGCGTTGGTGGGTGATGGATGTTGGATGTTGGGAGGTTTGGTTGGTTTGTGGAGGGAAGCACAAGATCTCAGGATGGATGCGCTTATTTCTGGGAGGCCGTGATGAATACGTCTATGAAGGACCTATCGTGTACCTCTCCCTTCCCGCCTCCTCTCCCACCACCCCCCTCTCCCAGAATAAGTCGAAAGAAGTAGTACATAAAGTTTCGTGTGCAGCGTGTACAGGTGTCGGTGTAACATTAGTTAGACTTGGGCAAAAAATGATTATTTTTGTCACCTCTTCTCACCTCTTTACCTTTTTTCCCCCTTTTTTGTTGTATATAGGACAATTATCTACCTCATGTCAGTTTGTTTGTTTTTGAAGGCCTATTTGATTATTAGGGCACGAGACAGCACCCCCCCTTCTCCTCCTCTACCCCAACCTCAAGGGGACTTGGCACGCCCCTTGCCAAAAGATGCAAGGAATGAATCAGATAGGCCCTCGCTTGAGTATCCTTTGTCAGATTTCCGCAATTCTACACTCCCGGGCTGCGCTGCGGAGAGTTGATTTCTATGGCAGGGGGGCAGGGGGGGCGGGGGAGGATGGGGTGAGAGTAGATCGAGGCCAGTACTGTTTTTTTTTTTGCATACTGTTGTTCAGAGAGAGAGAGTTTTGTGTGTGTGTGTTTGTACTGTATATGTATACTGCAATCTTCTTACCCTGAATTTACTTTTCTCTGATTCTACTTCTTGTGGTGGTAGTGGTGTTCTGTGTGATTAAGATTACAACCCGATGAAGGTGAAACACTCAGCAATTCTTTATTATTATTTCCCCTCAGTGTTCCCCGGCCAGATATTCAGGAACCAGACTAATCTTCAGGAAATCTGATATAAGTAAAGATGAATCTAAGTAACCTTACTAGATATTACTACCGTACTAAGTACTCCGTAGGTACGTGAAACATCACTTGGCGTGGGGAAAAAATGTAAATGCTGTGCGGGGGTATATTGAAAATGCTCCTAGGTCTGGCAGAAGTTACTAATAATTAAATAATTAAATAATTAGTCCGGCAGACCCAAGAAGCTCAAATGGCCTACGAAAGTGGCTAGCTAAGAAACGCCCTAAAGAAGTACCTGCATGTAGTCTAGTCTGGTTGGCACAACACCCTCCACAGGAGGCATGTATGTAGTCCTTGTCACATCGACACTCCTATTCATTCCATGATGAAAACTCCCTTGTATTGTATCTACATGAGATTTGTCCACCTGTGGTAAATGTGAGAAAAGATAAGAAGAAACAAGTGCGAGGTCGTGTGGCTCAATCGGTAGAGCATCATACTAAAAATGTGAAGGTTGTGAGTTCGAGTCTCACCATGACCACAGTTTCTTTTGTTTTGCTGATTCAAGAGACGCAAGTTTTTACCTGCATGTAGTCCTTGTCACATCGACACTCCTATTCATTCCATGATGAAAACTCCCTTGTATTGTGCGTCCATCAATCTACAAGATTTTGTCCACCTGCGATAAATTTAAAAAAATAAAAAAAAGCAAGAAAACACATTTGTATAGACAGGTACGAGGTCGTGTGGCTCAATTGGTAGAGCATCATGCTAAAAACGTGAGGTAGTGAGTTCGAGTCTCACCATGACCATAATTTCTTTTGTTTTGCTGATTCAAAGAGACGCAAGTTTTTAGTTACCTTGTTTCATTTTCTTGTTAAGTTAAGTTACCATGGCAACCCGACAACTTCCGATGTTACCATGGTAACGACTTGTTAGTAAATAAAAATAGCGTAACTTACCCCTCTTGCATTCACTCTCACTCAACGTAGAGCTATCCAAACAGCTCATCGCTTTAGTTAGATATGGCTTCTCAAGACCGAAACACTCCTTACAATGCAGAGTGCGTGTTGCCTGCCGAAGTTGAACAAGCTCTAGGTAGTGCTCAACTGCCACCTATTCAACTGCCACCTATTCTAAGCCCATCTTCAGGCCGCGGAACACTTATTTTAAGAAGTGGTAGCAGTGCGATAGCTATGTTCTGTGTCTCATTTGCAGTTGCTATCGCTGGAGTTGCTTGCTGCAGCTGCTGATTTCGCTGTTATACCACTTAACATAAAAGTGTGCGAAACTTCTGCTTTGTGTTTTTAGGCTAATGTTAAGTCTATTTCTGCTTACTAACAATAGACTTAACATTAACAAGAAAGCTTGCGAAATCCCTCTATTCATTCCATGATGAAAACTCCCTTGTTCAATCTACATGAGATTTTGTCCACCTGTGATAAATATAAAAAAAGATATAAAGAAACAAGAAAAATCATACGTACAGGTACGAGGTCGTGTGGCTCAATCGGTAGAGCATCATGCTAAAAACGTGAAGGTTGTGAGTTCGAGTCTCACCATGACCACAATTTCTTTTGTTTTGCTGATTCAAAGAGACGCAAGTTTTTACCTGTATGTTGTCCTTTTCACATTGACACTCCTATTCATTCCATGATGAAAACTCCCTTGTATTGCGTCCATCAATCTACAAGATTTTGTCCACCTGCGATAAATATTTAAAAAAGATAAAAAAAACAAGAAAACTCATATGTACAGACAGGTACGAGGTCGTGTGGCTCAATTGGTAGAGCATCATGCTAAAAACGTGAAGGTTGTGAGTTCGAGTCTCACCATAACCACAATTTCTTTTGTTTTGCTGATTCAAAGGGACGCAAGTTTTAACTGCATGTAGTCCTTGTCATATCGACACTCCTATTCATTCCATGATGAAAACTCCCTTGTATTGTGCGTCCATCAATCTACATGAGATTTTGTTTCAGTGTTAAGGGGCGGCTTCTTAGTCCGGGCCTTCTTCGAAAACAGAGAGCTTAGCGAGGCGATCAAGGGCTAAAGAGGTGACGGAAGGCGGCGTAGGGCTTAGCGAGCACAGCAAGAATTGGGTGCGAGCGAGCAGCGAAATAGAGATGTAGATTTCGAAGAAAATATACATGACAGTGCTTGGGTTCTGTCGTTTATACCTAGATAGGAGGAGCCCTCTATATAGGGGGCGTCCTAACCCCCCTATGAGCCCCACGACATAACCCAAGGCATAGACTTCCGAACCTCCGCATGCTTGCAAATCGATGACGCAAGAAAGTGAAAGAAAAAGAAGAGAGCTGTTGGTTGAGAACCCCCCCTCTCCTTTTTCTTCGCTTTCCCCAACCCTTCAGGCATCGCTAGATCGGTACACACGATCCTTCATGAGAAGCAGTTATCCCATAAGCTTGATACGACCTAGCCCCAGCTGTTCAGGCATCGCTAGAACGGCGCACACACTTCCTTGCTTCCTTGTTCCGGCCAGTCTCTCCACTAACCCGCGAGTAGGAGGCCCCGAGGATCTAGAGGGCCCATAGCTAGACCTGCTGTGGGTGATCAGTCCAGGTCTCAGCGGCTGTCGGCTTCGGTTTTCCGCCTCTGCGTAAACCACCCTCACATGAGATTCGAAACATTCAGAGGGGTATTACTAGAGATTTTGTCCACCTGTGATAAATAGAAAAAAAGAAAAAAAGAAAAAAAGAAACCAAAAAAACTCATATGTACAAGTACAAGGTCGTGTGGCTCAGTCGGTAGAGCATCATGCTAAAAACGTGAAGGTTGTGAGTTCGAGTCTCACCTCATGACCACAATTTCTTTTGTTTTGCTGATTCAAGTGACGCAAGTTTTTACTTGTCACATCGACACTCCTATTCATAAACTCCCTTGTATTGTACGATTTTGTCCACCTGTGATAAATATAAAAAAAGATAAAAAGAAACAAGAAAACTCATATGTACAGGTATGAGGTCATGTGGCTTAATCGGTAGAGCATCATGCTAAAAACGTGAAGGTGTGAGTTCGAGTCTCACCATGACCACAATTTCTTTTGTTTTGCTGATTCAAGAGACGCAAGTTTTTACCTGCATGTCTGTAGTCCTTGTCACATCGACACTCATTCATTCCATACTCCCTTTTATTGTGCGTCCATCAATCTATATGAGATTTTGTTTACCTGTGATAAATGTAAAAAAAGATAAAAAGAAACAAGAAAACTCATATATACAGGTATGAGGTCTTGTGGCTCAACCGGTAGAGCATCATGCTAAAAACATGAAGGTGTGAGTTCGAGTCTCACCATGACCACAATTTCTTTTGTTTTGCTGATTCAAGAGACGCAAGTTTTTACCTGCATGTCCGTAGTCCTTGTCACATCGACACTCCTATTCATTCATTCCATAATGAAAACTCCCTTTTATTGTGCGTCCATCAATCTATATGAGATTTTGTCCACCTGTGATAAATATAAGAAAAGAAAAAAAAGGAAAAAGAAAATTTATATGTACAGGTACGAGGTTGTGTGGCTCAATCGGTAGAGCATCATGCTAAAAACGTGAAGGTTGTGAGTTCGAGTCTCACCATAACCACAATTTCTTTTGTTTTGCTGATTCAAGAGACGCAAGTTTTAACAGATGTAAGAGCTATGGCAAGGCCTGCCTGGGCACTAGAGAGAAAAGGATTGGGCTGCAGAAGATTTTTAGAGTACGATTTGGAGCGATGAATGCTTAATTGAGAAGTCGGCTCAAGTACGGCAAATTTGGGTATTACGAACACCAGAAGAAAAGTGGGATATGGAGGGCTAGATGCAGTACGTGCTAGGTTGCTGAGTCTGTATTTGAGTCGTTGTGGAGGAGCATGCCTGACCGTGTGGCACCTGTGATTGCGGCTAAGGGCTGGTACACTCGCTACTAGCCACACCTCTAACTTTCACCTCATTTGCAATTTTCCCTTAATTGTCCTGTTTACTTTCTTACTACCTGTACTTATCTACCAGACTAACTTATCTCATATTCCATTTCAGAACTTAGCGACATCTGGTTGTTGTGTTAATTCATGAAAATTGAACGTCAGGTACTCCGTATTGTGGCAAGGCTTGCCAAGCGGCTCAAAATTGAAATACAGAAATCTTGGCGCCCTTCCCCCCCCTGCCCATAACAACAACCACCCCACCTTCCACCCCCCCCCAAAAAAAAAATAAATAAACAAAAATCAAATGACTTCAACAATCGCAATAGCGCAACAACTACAGCAACTACTCGCCATATTCGCAAACGCCGGGATATCTATATCCGACTCCGGCAATGCGCAATCGCCGCAAGAGCCGTTGTCGCTGGAGCTGTTGAGGGAGTTTAGGGTGTGGTTGGTTTCGTTACAGTCGTCGCGCGCGAGGGGGGTTGGGGGGGCGCGAGGGGAAGGAGAAGAAGAAGGGCTGCGGCGATTCCAGGAGCAGGAGGTTGCGGGGTTTGCGGATGGGATTGGGAATGGGAATGGGAACATTGCGAGGACGGAGATAGAGACGGGTAGGTATGTTATGGGGGGCAATGTTTTTTTTTTTGCACTCAATCACTTATTATTGCTGGGATGCTAATCCCTCTAGCACAGCAATAACAACAACAACAACCTCCCAGATAAATACCCATCCGAGGCCTCTACCCACCACCACCCCCTTCCTCAACTTATCCACTCCCATCCGCCAGCTCTTCACTCGCATCCTCCACACTGCCTCCCTCCCCTCCCTCACCAACCCCCACCGCACCACTACCTGCGACGTCCTCTCCACATGGCTCATCCGCGCCACTTCCACATCCACCCCCACCTCCACTACCCCATCCGCCTCCCACAACCCCCCCAATTCCATCCAACGTCTCCTCCGCACACCCTTCCACCATCCCAATCCTTCCGCCTCCCACTCAGACACAACATCCCACCACATCACCCTCTTCACCACTCTCACGCAGCTCCTCCTCGCAAACTTCGATTCCTCCGCATCCGCGGCATTAATGAAGGCACTTAAGGATCTATATGGGGCATTACTCTCTTGTTACCGCGATCTTTTCCTCCTTTCGCCAATGCCTGGTGGGAATAAAGGAGTAGACGAGGTAGATGTATACATCGCCCATCTAATCCAACAGACACTCTCACTCCTTGGGTTCTCAGGCACAACACTCCAATCCACTTCACCATCACCACCACCACCTTCACAGCCCACCACCCCAATCATCTCCGAGCGTCGCCGCAAAGCCGCCTACTTCATCCTCGAAGTCCTCGTCTCTCGCAAGACCGTCTCGGCAAAACATCTACTCGCCGCAGCAGAGTCATCTTCACCCCACGGCCACTCACACGGCTATCCCCTCCTACTCCAGCATCTCCTCATAACGGTCTCAACCGATCGTGCATTTGCGTCTGCTTCCGCAAAAACCTTCCTTGCGCTCATCACCGCGCGGAAAACCGAGCTCCTGGCCGAATACCCTACGCAGGAAAAGCTCGGGGTGGCAGAATGGACAAGTGTCTGGGATAGGTTGCTACGAGCGGCGTTAAGAGGGGAGCTAGTTTCCCCAGAAGATATAGGAGTGAGAGAGACAGGGGAGGATAAAGCCGATGCGCTCGCGCGAGGGAACCTAACAACCTATGTCCTCCCCGGGTTATTCAAGTTAACCGGAGCGGATGGACTGAAGGACTTTATTGCGGGCTTCGGAGTGGTGAGTGATTCCGGAGTGCAGGCCGGCGAGGAATGGGACTTCAATGCATGGCTGTGTTGTATACAGGTGGGAAGAGAGCTTGGATTTGTTGGTGATATAGGTGGCTCCCCGTCTGCAGACCGTCCCAGCGAGCGAGCTCCTACTGCTAGCACAGCAATGCACCTCTCACCTTATGTTTTATCCCTACTCCTCACACACCCCTCTCTCCATATTCGCATCTCCGCGCTTACGCTCCTCACGGCGTCGAGGCAAACTACTCAGTTGCCATCATCTATTTCGTTGTCCCTCCTACGGGCTCACCTTCCTCATTTCCACGCTCTAGCAGACCCCAAAGGTCGGAATGTGATAGCTGGGCAAATCAGGACATTCATCGAGCGGCTTGCAGCAGGATCAGCGTTCGCCACTCGGAAAGCCATAAAAGAGCGTCGCCGCGGTGGGGCAGAGGCAGAAGAATCAGCTCGAGAGCTGGAGGCGCAGGTAGATGAGATACGACGATTCGTGGAGTGGTATGTGGGGTTTATCCGCTCACAGATGCTTCCCGGCAAGGGATTCCCTAAAGTTGGGATGGCGTTAAGGGTATTGAAGATGTGGACTGGCAGCGGACTGGACCTTCCCTCGCCTGTCAATGGGGCTAAAAAACAGCCTGTGCCTGCTACATCTCAAAATAGCTCTCTGCAATTCCCTTTCCGAGTGCCGATATTTGATGGTTCCACTCGAGAAGGACGGGAGATGGCAAGCCTACTTCTCGAATGCCTTTTCCATTCTTTTGAGGACATTCGAGTCGAGGCTGCTGGTGTCACCAAGGCAGGGTTACTTCCAGCGGCATATGAAAAGGAGGTTCTGAATGTTCGCTTTTTAGGGCGCTGTTTTACCAAGGTGAAGGCTGGGGGTGGGAGAGCGAGGGATGCCGATGGGTTAGCCAGAGTCCTGGAGATCGTCTACGAGGCGGCCACAACGTGGGAGGAAGGATTCGAGATTGAGGGGGATCTGCTGGGCGAGGATGGTCGTGCCTCGGGGTCAGTAGCGCTGGCTACTCCCCTGGAGTATGTTGCATACCTCGTTAACGCCCTCTTGTGTGATACATTTCTCGCAAGGCTCAAGAGTGGCGGATTGGCTGAAGGGGTGACAAGCTGTGCAACGATTCATGGGGTCATATCCGGGTTGAGGCTGATTCTCGAGCGGAAGGATGTCTCTGATCATATATCCCTTTCCACCGCAGAGGAAATCACTGCATGGCGAGCATTGCACCGGAAGTTGATTTCCTTCTGTTGCGATATGTGGGACCTAATGGGCCCTATGCTCTGTGCAGCCCCTCCAGATGGTCACGTACTGGAGCCCGAAGACGAGGAGGATGGCACTGGCGGGGTAGAAGACTTCTACTCTGCAAGCGGAGATGTTACCACCCAAACGCTCATGTCGTACGCCTGGCGTGCCATTAAAGAGTCCAGTGAGCTACTCAGTGCGCTCATTTCCCACGCACGATACCCGGATATTATAAACCACGAGGACATCTCTCGCAGTGGCGAGCTGCTGATTGCTCAGCTTGCAAGCAGCCGACATTCTGGTGCCTTCTCGGCCGTCTCACCCTGCCTCTTGCAGCTCTCCAAGCGATGTTTTGCCTGTCCAGATCCCACAGTGCGAGAGCTTCCGAGGCGGTGGCTTGCAGAGAACTCTTCTCTCATTGCAACGAAGGCAGGGGCAATCACACGGAGGTCTGCAGGCATTCCATTTTTGATCGTGGGGATATTGACAGCTGAGACAGACAACAATCGCCCACTGCTGCATGAGGCCTTTGCAAGATTTGTGGAAATTGCAAAAATGCCCTTACCGGAAAGGGAGGCTGGCGGGGAAAAAGAAAGGAAAGAGAGCGGTGGTACAAAGATGGATTTACCCCAGGTCCACGCGCTTAATTGCATCAAAATCCTCTTCTGTGACTCCCGCCTTGGTCCCATCGTTTCAGATCTTATTGGCCACGGACTCGAGGTAGCAGTGAGCTGCTTTGCCAGCCCGGTTTGGCCCATCAGAAATGGCGGGTTGATGCTTTTCACAGCACTGTTGAACCGCTTGTTTGGAACAAGCAGGAGCAGGAATGATTATTCGTTCACAGCAAA